GGATAAATTAAAAATCATATAAACCTAAAGAAATGAAGATTTTTGTGCACTGTCTTTGGTTTCTATGCATTCTCAACATTTCTTTCACTCCAGAGTACAACAGCATGATCACTGCTAGCAGTAAGTAACACAGCAGGTGTTTTCCCATTTGCATAATTGTTTATACAAGCTTGTTGATAATATCTTTAAAGTGAGGCTTATCCTCTAAGAAAATCACACTACCTTTCTGTCAATGCACAAATACAGAAGAGTTAAATAAATTTTAAAAAATTAGAAGAAAGAACATCAGAGATAGAGAAAATGCAGCTACCGTGGAGATGGCTCATAGGTTCTTTAAGCTATTGTTCAAAGGTAAATCTGCTTTAACTATGTTCTTAAATCATAAATTTTTATCATCATCCTTACCACTAGCCTGTTCAGCCTCAAGATTGATATCTTAGAATATATACCACCAGAATCAGCAGTGTATGTATAGAAGACGCTGTTTCCCTGTGGATGCTACTATGCCAGTTTTATCTTCCAACCGTCTTTGACAGGGATGTTCAATTGTCAAGCAGAGATGACCTGCCGTTCATGGAAAAAGAACAAGAGATCAGATACCAAATGATCACTCACCTCGTACAATTAACAGAAATGGAGAAGAGCACATGATGAGCCAATCATCTTTTGTAAGTTGAAATCTATTTGTAAAAGCCACTAAACAACAATAGTGCTACTGAAAAGGTGCGCAGAAAACATTAATCCTATCTTATCTTGGAAATACTGGCTTGGCTTGATGATATTACAGTGCAAGAAACGAAAGACTAAGCTAGAGAAATCTCAACTGAAAGGAATGCTTGCTCCTTGAAAATGATACCCTCACCCACATTAATTGTAATAATAACACAGTAATTGCTCAAACTAAAACCAAAATGATTTGCAAGTTTGTGGAAAGAATTAGAAGGCAAACCACATTTTTCAAAATTTCCTAAGATATTCACAAACAAATCATTCATTTCAGCTGTACACTTCTCTGTTAAATTATGCTTCAATTAAGTCCATCTAGTTTGAAACATGTACGGGAGTTGTTTTTCTCCAGTATCCATGTCCTACTTAAGGTCATTTACTGCCTCCAAAAAAGAATGACTTCATCACAATCAAAATATCTAATGGAACAATTATCCTTCTGCAGAGTGAGTGCATTGCAGAACTCCTTTGCATGCATAATGTTCACTGTCAGCAGGGTGGGTATCTGTATCTAATGTGTATTATGACTACGATATAATCATGAAATCAATCACATGACATACAATGGAGGGACAAAGCTTTTTCTTCTAGATAACTGCATATGACATACAATGTCCTTAGACTTCGCTTTGCAATCTATTGAGCATTGAGTATCAGCAAACACGACCCTTGGAGTTAGATCAGGAAAATCATTTTAGCTTTTACCCCTAGACTGAATTTGCCACAACTTGATAATTTCACCCAATGCACTGCAAAATTTTCCAAGAATGGAACAAGAATCAGAACTTTTGTAGAATGCAATGATTAAAGTAGTTGATCTAGAAAATGTGTCGTGTTTTCTTATCCATGGATGCAGAATTCAAACGATAAGAGTCTAAGGACCATATATCAGAAGTTAAAATTTTTGCTAATAATAAAGCCATCAGCACTTATCGTGTTACTCAAGTCTCACAAGCCATATGCACATATACGACTGATACATGTTCCTAAGCAAATGTTAGAGCTCACTAGTGAAACATGGGAACTACACAGTTGAAAAAACAAGGGAAAAATCTTTACACAATTCCATCACAATTCAAATTTCTTACAATCAACAGAATATGTTCTTTCATAAGAAAAAGGGAATACCATAAGCATTGAAGCAAACCCTCATCCCAAAACAGAGAACATGGGGAAAAAAACGCACACAAAAACAAAAAGGAAAAGAGAACACCATTATGAGAAAAAGGTGCGAGAGAGAAAATGATATTGAACCTCAGGTTGGATACAGGGGACACGCTTCCGTGGGTCCCAATCATTAAATAGCATATGCTCACATGTTGCTTCAAGTCATGATCCTACCCTCAAATTAGTTTGTCCATGTAAAACAACCATACACAGTGCAAATAAAAGAGAAGACAATTGGATAAATGCTGTGATATTGCATTTCATTAAGTATATCTGAGTATTTATACAGTATAAAATATAATTTTTTTTGGCCAACCACTATAAAATATAAATTGAATTCAAATTCAACAGAAAGTAATAAAACATTAATGTAGATAATATTCTCAGTTATTACAATACACCCTGACTTTGAGATTCCCAGCAACTTGGAGGATGGAGGTTCATATATTACTTTTTTCTTTTTTTTTTTTGATCAGCAAAAGATAGTATTATTAAGTTAGAATAAGGGTACTCTAGCCATACAAAAAGAGTAAATTATAAAGTTAGGGTGATACAATCAACACTTTCGAAAGTTTACCCCAAAATCTACCCCTAAACATAGATCATCCAAACAGTGATGGCATGGCCTTCCTTATCCTACAACTGTTTTCATCCCCGTGTGTTCTTTGCTGGCCAACTAACGCATCCTTTTTGATGCCGTTTCGCAAGCCTGAGCAGGACTTATATACCATAGCTCCTTTGAGATATGCCTATTGACTTTGGATTCTATGGTTCTACCTACCTTTCTTTTTCTTTTTTGTTTTTCAGCTTGTCCTGCTTTTCCATGCAACTTGCAACCGGAAAGAAAAAGATGCCCAAAACAAAACCAGTGTGCGTCAATAATTCTCCATTGACTTGCTAGCAGTAAAAAAATATAGGTCTTCCTTCTCTGTACTCCTTAAGCTTTACACCTCTGAGTTTTCCTTTGCTTATTCTCTCTTCAACTTCCTCAGTTTAGCCACAAGCTACAGGTATATCATCTAGTGCTATGTTTATATTTTCTGTTTGTTGATAAAATGAAATTATAGCTGATCCACCTTTCCTAATTATTTTCTAATCTGTTATGGTTATTGTTATGTGTTTTTTCAGATCCGGTACCAATTTTGTGCTTCTTTGCTTTGCCTTCAGCTCCACTTATTTTCTACTTCTTCACCTCATTTTGCCAATTGATCTGGAGGTATATATACACTACATATTTTTTACTACTGTTTTTCTCTCTTGGATGTGTAGAAGAGTTAACTTCTGTTTGAATCTCTGCTAAACATATGGGTATAAAAAAGTTGTCTTTAACCATGACAAAAATGTATTTTAGATAATATGATAAAAATTTGTTAGTTTAGTATGTTGAAACCTATTCAATTTCAACTTGAAATTTCTCAAAGATTCCCTACTCTGGTGTATGTTGTATGATCTTTGACACAGAATGAATGTTATATATATAAAACAGAGCAAAAGATAGTCAAGTTATTTGGTTTAGATCATAACCCAACAACCCAGCATGAGGCAAAATTTTAACCGAGTCATTAGATATATATAGGAGTACCAAAGATTGTTTACTTAAGCCTTTTTCTTTAGCTGAAGCAAACAGTAGCTCAAGTGCCTTCCTTGGTGTCACATTTCAGCAATTTTCTTAATGGCGGACATTGCAACGCTAATTCTTGAGATCATAAAGTGCATAGCAACTCCAACATGCCGTTGTGTAGATTATCATAGAAAATTCAAGGAAGATGTGGAGGATCTCAAAAGCAAATTGAGAGATCTAAATAGCAGAAAAAAGGATGTAGAAACACAACTACAAGTAGAGGTTTGCTCGCAAAAACAAGTCAAGCAACAGGTGGAGGACTGGCTTCAAGATGCGCAGAGGATCAATGATGAAATTCAACAGGCGGAGCAAAGGGTGGATAATGCTTTATTTCTCTCACGAGCTCGTCTTGGAAAACTTGTTCGTGAAAAAATTATTGCTGTGGATGCAGTTCTTCAACGAGGCCATTTTCCTGAAGGACTGGTAGTTAATAAGCCTGCAACTGCTTTGCCTTTACCGGTAGAGAATCTAGAAGGCGAGGTTTCTGTGAAGGAAAAGATATGGGGATACTTGACAGGCAATGAGGTCCAAATGATTGGTGTTTGTGGAATCGGGGGTGTTGGAAAGACCACCATTATGAAGCATATCCATAATGAATTACTATTGATGAAGTCCATATTTGATAAAGTGATCTGGGTTACCGTCTCATATCCACTCAATGTTGTGAGATTACAGCATGAAATTGCCAAGGGGATGAGGATGAATGAAAGCCTAATAGAGAATGAGGATGAGCAATGGCGAGCTTCTGAATTGATGAGGATGATGGGAAGCGTGAAATATGCATTGATATTAGATGATGTTTGGCAAAGATTTACTTTTGAAGATGTTGGAATCTTGAGACCAACAACGGAAAATGGTTGCAAAATAGTTATTACTAGTAGAAAGGTGGATGTATGCAAGTCCCTTGGTTGTAAAATAGTTAAAGTGTCTCCTCTTTCAAAGGAAGAGTCTTTGAATTTGTTCTTAGATAAGGTGGGAAGTGACATTCCACAAGTTCCAGAATTGGAAGAAATTTGGAAGGCCATGGTGGACGAGTGTGCTGGACTACCCCTAGCTATTGTTGTAATAGCTAGGAGCATGAAAGGAATAACTGATGTCCGTGAGTGGAGGCATGCTTTAAATGAATTGCGTGAACGCGTAAAAGCTACAGCTAAAGGTTCAGAAGATGAGATATTTGAGCGATTGAGGTTTAGCTATGATCGTTTGCAAGATTCAAATATCCAAAATTGTTTCTTATCTTGCTCATTATATCCTGAAGACTATGAAATTAGAAAAGATGATCTAGTCAAACAATGGATTGATGAGGGACTTGTTGAAGAATTAGGGAGTAGACGAGCAATGCTTGATAAAGGATGGACCATATTAAACAAACTTGAGAACAGTTGTCTGTTAGAGAAAGGTCACTCCGAGGACTTTATTAAAATGCATGATGTTGTGAGAGATATGACATTGCGCATCAAGAGCATCGGTCCTCAATTTATGGTGAAAGCTGGTATGCAATTGAGGGAGATACCAGATGAGGATAAATGGACTGAAAATCTCGAAAAGGTTTCCTTGATGAAAAATGAAATTTCAAATATTCCTCTAAATATGTGCCCAAATTGTCCCAATCTCACAACCTTGATGTTGCAAAAAAATAACAAATTGACCAAAATTCCAGATTGCTTTTTTGCAAGCATGCAAGGGCTCAACTTTCTCAATCTTTCAGAAACTGGTGTTGAAAGTCTACCTAATTCCATCTGCAATTTGGAGAATCTTACTGCATTGCTCTTGCATGGTTGTGATAATTTAAAACAACTGCCTTGCTTGGCAAAGCTTCAAGCATTGAAGAAGTTGGATTTGTTTAGGGCAGGAATTAAGGTGGTCCCGGAAGGCATTGAAATGCTTGAAAATCTCCAATATCTTGATTTATGGTGTCCAAATTTGGTAGAGCTACCAAGTCGAAGAATACTCACCATTGGTAACCTTTCTCACCTCCAGCATTTGGTAGTATTTTGGGACTCAACTACTTTAAAGATAAAAGGAGAAGAGGTAGCAAGATTAAAGAAGTTGGAAATTTTTAAAGCTCAATTGTATGACCTACAAGACTTGAGCAATTATGTCAAGTCAAACCATTCTAAAAGATTGAGTAATTACGTGTTTATGGTTGGACAAGTGGAGCCTGACTTTAATGATGCTGATTTGTCTAAAATGATAAGTTTAGGAGAATGTGAGATAGGTGGAGAAGATAGTGTGGTGCTTCCAAATGACATGCAACAATTGTGGATTTATAAGTGTAGAAAATTTCGAAGCTTAAGTGATATTCATTCTCTCAAAAATACAACGAAGTTGAGAAAGTGTTGTGTTACTAAGTGTGAAGAGATAGAGTGCGTGGTTGACATGGTCATGTCATCGTTCTCCTTCATTAAAAACCTTGAGGAGCTATGGCTTGATAAGTTGCCTAACTTGAGCATTGTTGTGGACGTGGAAGGAGAAGAAGCAACACTGCCTCACATCTTTTCCAATCTTAAAAGCTTTTGGATGAGGGGATGTTCTAGAATGAAGAGGCTGTTTCCATTTGAGCTGCTGCAAGGCCTCCAAAACTTGGAGAAGATTACAATTGGGGAATGTGAACAAATGGAAGAAATAATAGGATGGGAAGGAGAGGAAGAAAATCACATAACTGATGCAGCTACTACTACTACTACATTCACTCTTCCAAAATTACGAGCGTTGGATTTGTGGAATTTACCAGAATTGAAGAGAATTTGCCCCACAAGAGGAGTAATGGTTTGTGATTCTCTCCAACAATTAGAAATAAAGAAATGTCCAGAGCTAAGGAGGATTCCCCTAGTAGGAAATGTGCAACCATCTCCTCCCGCTGCTCTAAATTATATTAGGGTATGGCCACAAGAATTGTGGGAATCAATGGAGTGGGATGATCCCAATGCCAAAAATGTCCTTCAACCCTTCATGGATTTCCTTTGAGGATCGCAAATGGAAAGCTTTGCATCAAATCAGATGGCTGAGATCCAATACCACTGGTAAGCCTTCTTTTCTTTTCTTATTAATGTTCAAATTGCAATATTTCACACTCGTTTCCTTTTTCCCCCTTTTTTTGCGAAATATCCTTTATTTTTCTTAATCATATATTCACTATCGAACCATTTGAAACCAAATATTTTTGTGGTTCATATATATAGATTGATCTTGTGGCTCATGTTCTTAGCCATCACTCGATTCAATTCTCTCATAATCATTAATGTTTAATTAATTCATCTTTCAACTAGTGTGCAATGTATGAATAACTAATTGATCTTGTGTTAATTGATTTTGATTAAATTGGTTGCTGTTGTCATTTAATTGATCTATTGTGATTTGTGGGAAAGATTGTCAAGTTTATATCATTTTTGGGATTGAGGGCAACAAGTTAGGGAAGATTTGAGCCTATTTTTGGTTGTGCACATCAGGTGTTTGATGAATGCCTGTGTGAGGATATGGGTTTGTTTTCTGAAATGTGTTTGCTGGGATAGGCTACACAAGACTAGGTACAGGGGTTTAGAAAGATGGCCTAAGGTATTTTAGGGTGATACGCTACATATGTTTTCGAGTTGAGAATTTTTGTAATATGTGGAATAGATTACTCCTTAATCCTTGTACTCCTCTTTTATTGATGATAAATGGCTTTGTGGGAACATGTTATTGCAGGTTCGATCTGCATCTTTGTTCACTCTGTCAAAATGATCTCATCTTGGAGTGGGCAGGAAATTAAATGAAAACAAATGGGTCGATTCCATGAATCCGCTTGACTTGAATGTTGTTTCTTACTCTTTGAAATCCCTATTTACTTTTGAATGCTA